AAGGGACACCGCTAGTTTCTCAGCTCAAGAAATAAGGGGGGGGGGGCAAACAAGCAATGGGACCAGTGCTCCCTCTAAGCCAGTTTGGTGTAGTGGTTAAGTGCGCGGACTCTAATCTGGGAGAACCGGGTTTGATTCCCCACTCCTCCTCCACTCGCAGCTGCTGGATGACCTTGGGCAAGCCCTGGTTCTGTCAGAGCTGTTCTCTCAAGGGCAGTCCTCGAAAGAGCTCTCTCAGCCCCACCTACCTCACAGGGTGTCTGTGGTGGGGAGGGGAAGGGAAAGGAGTCTGTAAGCCGCTCTGAGACTCCTTCGGGTAGTGAAGGACCATGGGGTATAAATCCAATCTCTTCTCTAAGCTGTGGAGTCTTGTGAGCAAAAACTCTACTTTGTGAGCTACTACTGGCATTAAAGTTGCGAGCGAGCGACTTGGCTGCTGCATCTATTCGTTTGCTCTGGAGCCCTCTTTTCCTGAGCTGAAACAAAAAAGTGTGTGAGCCGGAGGCTAAAAAACTGTGAGCCGGCTCACACTAACTCGGCCCCCTAACACTAACGGGACCCCTTGGAAGAGGGAGGAAATGGGAGGAGCAGGTTGGGCGGGGGGGTTGGAGTTCAGACGGGACCCCGAGGAGGCGGGGGTCCGCTGAGACCATCCCAGCTCTCAGACACTGAGGACTAGAAACTTGAGACTGCTGAAACCGCCTGCCTGTTCTCTCCCTTGCAGCAGCCCAGCCGGCCCCTGTCCAACTCACGCAGCCTGAGCTACAGCACCCAGAACCTCGCACAGAGCGGCTCTCCCTAGGACGTGGCGGGCGGGAACCTGCCTTTGCCTCGCCCCCAGCGGCTGGGCCAGAGACGGAGCTTCTCGCCCCCTCCGGCTTCCTGCTCGGGCCTGCAAGGAAGGGAGACCTCGACTGCTACGGACAATCTCCTGTTTCTCAGGAAGGGGGGGGGAGAGACACACACGTCCAGCAGAGGACTCCGTCGCCCTCCTGCGCTGCCTTCGGACTCTTTGCATACGCTCCGCGGATTTGCACACTTCTCCCCGGCCTCCGCCCGTCAAACAAAATCTTGGCTGCTGCTACTATCCAAAAAGTCACTATTTATTCTATTTAGGCAACTGACTATGCTTCCCCCCCCTCTGCCCATAAAGATGGCTGGAATTAGGTGGTGCATGCTGTCTCTCTCAAGCCACACGTGGGGATGGGTGACGGGGAAGGGGCAAAAACCTTTGGGGGGGGTGTTTGTTGTTCAGTCACACAGTCGAGTCCGACTCTTCGCGACCCCATGGACCACATCGCGCCAGGCCTTCCTGTCTTCCACCGTCCTCTGAAGTTTGCTCAGTTTCATGTTCGTTGCATCGATAACACTGTCCGACCATCTCATCCTTTGCCGTCCCCGTCTTCTTTGACCAAGGGTTGAGAGAGCCAGTTTGGTGTCGTGGTTAAGTGCGCAGACTCTAATCTGGGAGAACCAGGTTTGATTCCCCACTCCTCCACTTGCACCTGGCTGGATGACCTTGGGCAAGCCATAGTTCTGACATAGCTGTTCTTGAAAAAGAGCCGTTTCTGTCAAGAGCTCTCTCAGCCCCACCGACCTCACAGGGTGTCTGTTGTGGGGAGGGGGAGGGAAAGGAGTTTGTAAGCCGCTCTGGGACTCCTTTGGGTAGTGAAGGGCCATGGGGTATAAATCCAATCTCTTCTTCTTCTTCTTGATTTCCTTTAGGATTGACTGATTTGATCTCCTTGCAGTCCAAGGGAGACTCTCAAGAGTCTTCTCCAGCACCCTAATTTGGCACCACACCTGAATTCACAAAGCCCTTGAAGTGGGTAGATGGGCAGGCCGACTTTAAAACATAAACCAAACCATAGGGACCGCAAGCGTATATGATATACAAAAATAAAAAACGCAAGGGTAGACCAACAAATAATTCACAATTTCAGAAGTTACCAATAGATTATCAGTCTATTGCAACGTAATAACAGTAAGTCAATTAAGATTGTCAAATTCGTGGTCACAATTCGAAAACACAATTCAGAAACACAAGTACAATTCAAAACATTTTAACAAGAAGGGTATGACAACTCAATAAGAGAGAAAGAATCCAACAAGAGACTCCTCTATATCCTTTCAGTATAGTCCAAAACACTTGAAGGTCCACAAAGGGCAGAGATTGGCCCACAGAACAGAGACATCCTCTACTTTGTTTGTGGACTTTTTTTGGACTATACTGCAAGGATATAGAGGAGTCTCTTGTTGGATTCTTTTTCTATTATTGAATTGTTACACCTTTTCTTGTCAACTTTTTGTATTACAACTTGTGTTTTTGAATTGTGGCCACCAATTCTACTTTATTAATTGATTTACTGTACTTATGTTGCAATAGACTGATGTCTACTGGTAATTTGTGAATTTTGTGAATTTTTTGATGGTGTTCCCTCTAAGCTGAGTTCCCTCTAAGCAGTGTTCCCTCTAAGCTGAGTTATTGTGAGCTAGCTCACAGTTTTTTAGCCTACACCCTCAGCAGCCCCAGGATCCCCCAGTCCCCGGTGCAAGGCAGACTCCGATTTACAAAAACAATGCTCTTTTATTCTACCAAAACCTGGGGGGGGGGGAATGGCCCCAGGCCAGAGTCTCCTCTGCCTCACGGGGCTCCAGAGGACGCCACAGAGCCAGCTGCGGTCCGCCTGCCTTTGGCCGGAGGGTCGGGTCGAGCGCCCTGCCGCCTCCTCACACGTGGTGCGCAATCTCCTGCACTTTATGCAGCGTCTCCTCCGACTGCAGCTGCTCGAAGGTGAGCAAGGAGAGGCCGAGTTGATCCTCCTGCAGAGAGAGGAGGCAGGAAACAGTTCAAG